GCATTTTTCAAATCTCGGAATGCAATTCCTTAAAATAAATAATAGATATTAAGTCTCCATTATTTAACCTAAAATAAACAAGAATTTGTAATATACCTAGATTCACTCCGTTTCTTGTATAAAATACCGCATTATTTCTAATGTTTAAACTACATCCGATAGTATCACCGGTCATAAATTTTGGTCCATATAAATTGCCATCATTGTTTAAATATGTGTTTCCATCATCACCATGATAACCCCATGAGCAATCTTCCCAGCCTACAATATAAATAATTCATAAATAATTTATTAACAAATTAAGTTGATAAAAAGAAGAGTAAAATTACCTGGCATTTTATTTAGGCTAGCTGAGTTTGTGCAAAACCCGATGCCAATCTCCCTATGGAATTTGAAAAATTGAATTATCGGAAAATTTTAAATAATCAACTTAAAATAATATTCCAAAGATTACAACATACCCATTTTCCCCTTTATCTATAATGTCAACTTCAAAATAAAATAATCCACATTGTTCAGGAATAGGAATATTTGCTCGAAATGCAGCACAGTTTTCATATCCACCCAGACCTTTATATTTGAAAATAATTGTGATTATGCAAGGATAAGTGATTCCATACGAAAACAGTAAAAATACAACATGAAATGTCATAAACTCACTTGTATAAGTCACTATAAGCTTGTCTGAACTTAGTCTTAAAAGATTACTTCCATCATCAATATCCCATGCGGTTGGTGATTCCATATTGTTGTGTAACCCTATTAGCAAGAAAGTGTTTGATTATTGATAGATTGATTTGTATGCCTTTTACCTTCTTATGTGGAAGCTTTAAATACGTTGCGAGTTTAATTTTATTTTAATTTTTTTTTTTTAAAGAAAAAAAACCAGATATTAGATGTGCATAATTTGTGACCAAATAAAAAAAAATACAATTCGATTTGTAAAAAAAAAAATATATATATATGTATCGATCATATGTCGATCATATGATTATTCGGAAATTAGAATGTCCGGCTATTTCTTTAGGATCTAAATTACACTTGAGAGATTTAATATACCAAAATTAACCTCTTTACAATATTATTCTTTAAATGTATCGTGTTTGAATGTTTCTTATAATGATTTATAATCCTCGAAATATTTTATGATGTATTTGATATCACTTCTCGTTAGATTTGAAAAACTGGATGCAGTAAAAGACTTGATACGACGAATCTTATCACATTAAAGATGTCGTAAATTTTTTTTGTCGTATATGTTCTTTTGCGCACCATACTCCTTTCACATTTCCCAGAAGTATTTCCTTAACTTCTTCATTCAGCTTTGTGCAAAAGTATAGCAAGTCATTCTGATAGAGCTTTCCCAAAATGAAAATAAAAACGAATTAACTCCCTATTACTTTTATCCCCATCCTTTTTCGCAATATCAATGTCATAGTATAAATTTATGAAATGGATTCAAAACTTAGAACCTTCAGAAGGTTCACTTATTGATGGTCTGCTAGCTGGGAAGACAGACAGACAGCTCACGAATGATGATTTGAGCTATTGTGCCTCTAGAAGATTTACGTGCATCCTCTTGCCTCTTTCTTTTCTGGGTATTTCATGAAAGGTAGGCGAATTGTAATACCCTTCTTTTTCCAGATTATAAGTTGTCGGGCATTTAGGACACAACTTACGTTTATTATCAATCAATACTATCGAAATGCACATCAACCCTCGATAAAGGTTTCGTAGAGATTATTTCAAAGCACTTGGCGCACGTAACTCATCATCATCATCAAAATCTTGTGGATCACTGTTATCTGCAACGCAATAAAGTGTCCCTCACTTATCAATTTCTTTCGCACAAGTCCGATGTGAAATATCACCACAAACGTTTAGAACGCGCGATCTAGGTGGGTCTTCTGTTAAAATAGGAATATCACCTTTTCTGAAAAATCCGGTTCTTCACGAAGAATGTCCTCTGGGAAATACTTAATTTATTCAACGCAATTAATTTAAGGTTCTGTTACGCGTTGGTTGCAGCTTGTAAATCTCACTGCTTTGTTCAGTAATCAGGTTTTCCGTATCAGATGGGACCTCTTTATTATCTGAGCTCTCTTGGTTTCCCATGGTTAACGTTTTCAAAAAAAAAAATATATATATATAACTATGAAATTTCTCGCTTGTTTTTATAGAGTATAGTATAGGGAAAACCGGTACGGTACGGTTCGGCTGATCAGTGTGGTACGATTTTGCAGATCAGTACGAATTTTCAAATTATAATCGTACCGTACTGATTCTATAATATTATTGGGACCAGTTTGGTACGATCATATTTTGTACCGTACTGATTCGCACTGATTTTCTCGATTTATTATTAAGGGAATTTTTTTTTTTTTTTTTTTTGAAAAAAAAATTTTTTTTTTTTATTAAGAACGCTTTGACGAATGCAACATCGATCATTATTAATATCATTGATCATTAACATAGGGCATATTTAGAAAACCGGTACGGTCGGTTAATAGAAAGTATCGTACCGTACCGTACTGGTCCTATATATAAATGCTTTCTATTATTGGACCAGTACGGTACGGTACGATACTTTTCCAAATTCTGATCGTACCGTACTGATCAGCCGAACCGTACCGTACCGGTTTTCCTCCTCCCTGTTTTTATAGCGCTAGTAGTGTCGCAGAGTAAGATAATGCCAGATTTCACTAGCAATTATGCACTGCATTTCGTCATTTCGCTAATCGCCCTTGCTAATTAATAAAGATGATCTCAGGATTAGCATATGTCACTCTCGGAATATAACTGCACCGAAAATTGTATCACTACAGCCTTAACGATAATAGTTGCATTTTATTTTATTATTTTATATTTTTTTTTTTAATAAATTTATTTCCTTTTGATTATTTCAATAAAAAACTTTATTTAAATCTATATTCAATTTTTTACATATATATTTTCGCTATACTACATTGTGTTCCATAACAAACCTAATAAATTTAACTTATATAAAATCACCTCTTATGAATTTAGGAGGTGGCACATACACATTCCCCAAATCCCTATGCGAATATTGTTTTATTGCTATGATAGTAAGTGACCGGAGACATTACGTGAAATGTGAGAAAAAAAATAATATTTCCTGCGCAATGTTATTTATACAAATCTTACGTCACATAGCCAATGTTCTTATATCTTCTGCGTTCCTTGTGATCATCACAATAATAGTTGTCTTTTCTTTATCTCTCTGCTCTAGGTTCGTGAATCTGGCTTCAAAGCACGCCATAATATTGCATTCTCAGATTTAACTTCGATATTCTCAGCCTTGACTTCAAAATTCTTACCCATAACCTCAATAAATTTGGTGAAATTATTAGCCTCAAGCTCAGTGATGCATTGTCTCAATGAGTCAAGCTCAGATGATATGATAATATTTTATAAAGTTGGGAACTATTCAAAAGTTTGTTAGTATATATATAAATATGTGCTATGAAATTTGCGTGGTGGACGTCCCAAAAAATTGCCAAGAAAAAAAACTGTGACTAAATGTCACAATCGGAATTACTAATTTATTGATGTAAAAAATTGTAAAAAATAAATTACAAGGTTCGGTAATACATAAACTTGGTTTACAAAGTGAAATGGCGTTTCTATACTAAAGCCTGCCGTTGTTTCGTCCATCAAAGCTCTATATACTAACAAAATATCCCAGAATAAAATGGTCGTCAGTTATGCATAAAACATTACCAGAGTCAGAAATAAATTAACAGTACTGACCTTAGTAAAACTCACTAAAAGTTTATGTTCTCCGCCTAATAGGTCCTTGAAATTTCTGAAAAAAATTATAGTAGCTTTGCAAGCTCTGAGTCGCTTCCTAGCAAATGCGAAAAAAATATTCATTTCTCAGATGTCATTATATATGGCCGTCACGTGATTTATCAATCGTGATGTAATTGTGCGATAGATGATGAAAAAATTTCACATTCCCTAACTATTTTCTGCTTAATTAGTTCTTCATTCCATTGCTAAATACTTTTCCAATGTTACACTCCAGGTCTCCATTTCGTTAGGTGTCGAGTGCAATGCAAAACAATAAATATGATGTAAAATCAAAAATATAAACATAAATATAAATATTTTTATTTTTATTTCTTTTCAGAACCAATTACAATCTCTTCATCCTCCCACGCTTCTGAAGAGTTTACTGAGTTTACATTTCCCCTCTACTATATAGTACGAGTATATTTGTTGTTTTCGACTATTTCTGGAATTTCTAATCACCTTCTTACTATTTGTAGGCTTGCCTTTTGGTTAGGCGTTATTTCAATT